CAGCCTTCTGACTCACTTTAAGGAATCCTCATACATGCCCTTAAATTTCACTGAAAACCTTATGTATTTCAGCAGGTTTCCTGCAAAGCTTCTTCAGTGATGAAGTATTCCACCAGAAGAGGAAACCTGATTTTTCAAGACTGAACCACGGTGAGGGCTAAAATTCAGTATTCAAATGTGTTCTACAAGTGCCAATTATCAATTAAGTATTACACAGACAGTGCACTGTACACACCCAGAGAACTGTTTTCCATATTTTATGACCTAAAAACACACACACACACAAAAAAACCAATAAAAAGAAATACAGAAAACAGGATAAAACATATACAAAATAGCACATAAAGGCTGACAACACTTGTGTTTACTTACCTCTGGGGTAAATCAGTTACTGTATGAAAACTGAATAAAAATGATCCACCTACTGTGGTAACTGCAAAGCGCTTGCTAAGCCTATCTTTTAAAAACCTCTGTGACATGGGCAATATGGTTAAATTTTAAAAAAGAAAAGCCCAACACACTCTCCACCTGCATGTACATCTTATTTTTGTATATTATTTCTTATTATTTCATTGCATTTTATTTTGGCTTTTCTATCAAGATTCTTGATAGATTCTACTTTTGCATAAAAGCCATCCAAAAAAGGCCTTGAACTGACAGTGTGTTAATTTAATCTGGAGATGGCAAAGAAATAACCCTATTAAAGTCCTAATCACAGGGGGAAAAGTTGCACTCCCAGTTTTAAGGAACTTTAGCTTTACAGTTAAATCCCAACCTTTTCAGCAGGGCTAAAAAGAGCAGTACAGCTAAGCTGAGTGTTATGACACACAGGAATAGAGGTTCAAAAGGAACCATCTGGTTCCTTCTGTTCACTTGAACTGCAATAGATTTTTAGTCCTGAAAGGTCAACGCCACATCCATATGTATAAACTGGAACACTACCAACCCACTACAACAGATTAAAACACTTAAAATATTAGAAGTTACTTAAAAAAAAACAACACCATAATGATACAGTGTCAAAGGAAATACACACAGGACTCTGCACAAGCAAGCAGGAGAGATAGCCAATGTCCTGTATTTCTGTGAACTGACTTTTAAGTATTTTATACTTAATTCAGAGTTCTAAATAAGGCTAAGAACTATTTTAAACAATTATGTTTCAATTATATAAGACAATGGTGACAAAGTTAAAACTTAGATCTGATCTAGTAACTGTCACTAGGTCTGCTAGTGTGGAGGAGGTGATAAATATCCACTTTCAGCTCTGAATTTGTCTTTTCTCTGTGTTGAATCCTCTTCTACATTTAAAAAAAAAAAAAAAAAATTTAAAATCACAGTTTTCATCTTCTCTGTTCTGCCTACAGCTACCCCACCTCTGTGCTTCCCATCTGTCTACTCCTTTCTTGCTGCTCTTCAACTCCCACAAGATCTTTCTTGGCTCTGCTACTAGTCTAACTTGGTCAGCCCTACCACTACAGCATGATAGAGCATTGCAAGCACCCCAGGTGCTTGGTTTCCACCAGTTTGGCAAGCAGCTTTCTTACCTCACCCTGTATTCAGTTTCTGATGACAGGCTTTAGGTACACCTTTTAGGAGTATTTGTGAGTTATTTCCTTCTAACCAATTCAGCATTTAGTACTGTCAAACAAAAATATCCAGTACATACTTCAGACACAAATTTTAAGGAGGAACCTCCCTTACCCATCTTGTTCTGTTCAATATTTTATTATTTTAATGTTTAGCTATCTATCTCTGAGTCCTAAGGGCATTGTCCCTGCTCAGCAACTCTATCCATGCTTACAAAAATGCAGACTACAATTATGATATAATGTATTTCCAATGCAACACAGGAAGTAAAACATTTAACTCTGATTATAACAATTCATGCAATCTGTCAGTTACAAACTAAGCAGTAAGTAAAAGTAGCTATCACAATGGCTGGTGGTTCATTTTCTGTACCACACCTTGAATGATACTGCTAGACAGGATAATATATATTCCCAAAATGTTTACAAGTCCCATAACAAGTCAGTTTCTATGTGTATTCTTTCAACTGATAAACTCAGTTCTAAACAGTAAATGAACAAATTTCTTTTAACAAGGGCAAAAATGAGTTAGTCCAAGGAAACTAAGAACACAAAGGTACTGCAATCACCATGTTTACCTAATACACAGTAAACCTGTGAAAAATGGACAAGAGTAAAAAGCTGGAAGATGTTGCCAAGGTAATGTTGCAACACTCAGCATTAACACGTATGTTGCTTGAAATGGAAAATAAATCCAGAGCTAGCTACCACTGTATCTCATTCACTGTAGTGAATCACAGAAAGGTGGAAGGTCATCAAGTATATTCTATTACTCCCAATACAGTTCAACTTACACCACTTGGGGACATGGCTAAACTGTGATCCCACTGTAACTTTTAGAGGAAAACTTTTGCTTCATTTGTAACACAACTTCTTGCTGCAACTAAAACCATTATTGTTTCACAGCTATCAAGAACAGCAAAACCCCCAGAGTTTATCATTGTCACAATTTCCTTTACCCACAGTGGCAGAAACATTAGTTTTGTGTCACTGATTGTTCCTGACAAAATAACTTCTGTATTTGACCCTAGAGTATCGCATCATCTTTCTGATCATGTTATTTGGAACTCTAATATTGCTCTCAATCACACAGACAGTCCCCTTCCTAGTCACTTGTCTACTTGAAATTACCAAATCATACTGTACACTCCATAATACAAACACATATAAACCAACCGGTTGCAGATCACTGCAAAACTCCACTAATAGTAAGCCATGCAAGAGGGCTCTCTCAGCACAATTTGCAGCTTTTTGGGGCCCACCATGCAGCAGTTTTATTTAGATCCTGAACGCTTCTCCTTGTCATCAGTGAGAAGCTCTGCTGAAGTCAGGGCATCTGATGTTTCTTCCTTACTCAAAGTATGTTATCCTGTTGAAGAAAAACATTAGATGCATCTAAGATCATTCAATCTCTTCATATCCATGTTGGCTGCTACATATCAACATGTGGGTGGGGAACCTGAAGGAGGGCTAGGTTCCCCAGAATGGCAATTAAAAACCAAAATCCACCTATTGAATAGAGCTAGCCTACAGAGAATTATAAGCACAGCTCACACCTCTTAACCTTTCCTCACGAAGACGGGTATCAAACACCTGGGTATTCCAAAACTGACTGAATGGCCCTAGAAAAGAATGGATCTACAAATTAAGATGACCAAAAAAACCAGAACTGATTGGCAAAGGAAGAAGACTTGAGCTTTGCTTCAAAAGATTACTAACTTGAACATTTCTTTAAAAGATGGGAGACCTAGACTCAGTTTCCTCTGCAACCTGAGAAGACCAAAACCCGCATTCTTTACATCTGAAGAGTATCCCAACCACAAGTTTAGGAAACAGTCTAGGTGAACCAATTTTTTGAATTTTCCTTGAAGCTTTATAAATGGGGAGAATGACAAGCAGAACACTCCACTAGAAATGAAATCTTCCATTTCATCTCATTGTCCTCAGTATGCGCATGCAATTACTTTGCAGCTGCTATTTTAACAAAAGCATTTGTACATATGCATAGAAGTAACATTTTGTTAGGTAACATTCAACTGATGTACATTTTTTGTGCAGGTGTGTAGTGTCTTATAACAGTAGAGTGTCTAGGGTTTACTTCTAAGTTTTGTAAGTTTTAATATAGTTTTCAGAGAAGAAAAAGAAATGTAAAGACTCCACGAAATCTTATGTTCCATTTAGTCCAAAAATAACCGCAATCTTCTGAGATTCACAGAGCACTTCTTCCTCTGACCACTAGCTGTACTCCCAGTAAGATACACACACTCAAAGGAACAAGTGATATGAGTAAAAAACTAAGTGACTGAATCACCCTAAGCTACCAGATGTTCACACACACTCAGCTGGAAGATAGAGCAAGGGATTTCTGCCCTTCTTGAAAGCTACCTGGAAGAAGGGCTGGAAACCTAAAACCTCACTGAATGCCTACCTCCTGGCAACTGAATTCCACTCTGTTCCACTTGAACATAGGAATAAACTACAGGGAAATCAGGATCACAAACTGCTTTCCAACTGTACTAAGATGTAATCTTAAATTTCAGTGAATTTTGCTAGAATAAACAAAGTTTATTTTTTTTTTTAAAAAAAGGTTGCCAAAAACATATATACCATAGTTAACCACAATTAAGGGGTTTAATTTATTCCAAATCAATGGGTTTGATTTATACACTTAAAAACATATTAACTGAACTATTATTTTTATTAGAAAGGGTAAAAACATGAAGCAAACTATCATACAGCTACCACCTACCCTATTCCTGAAATCCAGACTCTCACAAGTGCTGGTCTGACCTTGGAGATGCTCAATTTCATCTGAACAGATCAGCAACAAAAATGTAATTTCTCTCTGTTCTCCATGATGTCTCACAAAACATGTCTGTATACATCCTTTTCTCCTTCAATCCAAATATGCCCATCTTCACTGCTTTTAAAGTCAGGAGACTGATGCACAGCACCACTTTTCTGTTTAACAAACTGAAAATATTCTGGCTGAAAGTTGTGTATCTAACTAGCCAATGAGCTGGTAACAAAGGCAAATGTGAAGAGGAACACATTTGCTTCAATCAGAAAGTTCAGCACATTAAAGTGAAATACAATGTCAAGTTCATCCCTCCAAGAAAGACCTTAACCTTAATAAGCAAAGACTGTTACCAAATATGCTATTTGTTCATAACTCCGCAGCTACGCTGTGAGATAAAACGTAGGGTTTTCTTAACAATTAAACCACCTGTTCAATTTATTATATGGTATAAATATTGATCTCATGGCTTCTCAAGATTAATGATATAATCACCGTAATTCTCTGGTTACATTATTGAGTCACCCAGCTCCTTATGGCCGCAGATAACATCTAATCAGCTAATCAAAAATAAACCTGAACAGGCAACTGCATGTCAAAATTATTAATCTTACCTGACAGGCAGATGTATGTTAAATATTCACCCTGACCCCCAGTAGCTAGGAAAGGAATCTTTTTTTTTGTTCTTCTTTTTACTTGGACTGCTCCCAGCATCCTTTCATCATGTGGGGCAAAAATTTCTTTGCTGATTGCAGATTTGGCATTCATTGTAGATCACAGATACAGCAGACTGATGCACTCTAAAAACAAAAACATATTTAAAAATATTAGAAACTTACAAATTATGTTAAAGTCCAGTTCATTTTCATGGCCGTTAACAGCTCTGACCTTCAAATAAAGATCTTTATTATTATTATTCAAAGAATTTAGAAGCTAACTTCATGCATTTAGAAGCAGAATTTTTGAAGTACCCAAGAGTCTTCACTGAAGTTGTTCTCCACGTTGCTTAAATTCTTTTAAACTAGCTTAGTTTATTTTGGGCAGAAGCTGTCCACACTAGCACTTCAGTATGACACAAAATCATCTCAGAAATACCCTGTAACTTCATGGTGCATAAAAGCTTCATTAATTCCTTCTCTGGCAACTGGAGGGAAACTCATCTGCCTGACACATGGAAAGCACTGCAAGGGCATAGGAAAGGAACACCGTGGTTGTACTGGCAGACAAGTCACATTCACAGAAGATACAAGAAGCTTCAGACTCGTAAGGCTGCTCCTGCAGCAAAACTGCTATTGGTGACAGAACTTGATTAACAGCTCCTGCACCTCTCACAGCTTTACGATTCATGCCCTCAACTCCTCTGTAATTACTAACTGGGCAATTGCCCATGGAAAGGCATCAGAGAAACCAGAGGGGTTAACGCAGACGAAACCACACCTCTGCTTTTCTGCTAAGTAATTTTGGCCCTGGTCAGTTCCTCAATGCATTTCGAAAGAAAACACAGTCTATTTTGGAAAGACATTTAGAGAGGAAAAGAAAAGAAATAAATGTAGAGAACAGGCAGGGAGACGCCGGAAAGCTGCTTGTTCAGGCATGTCCAGCAAAAGAAAGGTCAATCTGACCACATATGGAGGAGCCTACTGAAAGGAGAGAGCTCAGTTACAGAGGAGATATTAACATTCTCTTCATGTAGACAGTACCACAGCTGTATCTCCAATTAGTTTTGCAGTTAAATCTATGAAAAATACACTATCTCACTGATATAGGCTGCAAAATGTCCCTTTTAATTATTCAAATATAATGACTTCAAGCCACATACATTTTATTTCTGTATTATTTAGACTTTCATGCCCACAGATCTTCTTGACATCTTCAGCTTTCTTAGAATAAGATCACCTTCAGGTCTCAACTACTGAAGCTAGAAATTCAGTATTTGCCACAAAGTAGCTATCAGAAAACAGATAAATTCCAGTCTAATTCTATTTTGAAGCCAAGAGAGTCATGAAACCATCATTTTTAGTTTTCGTACTACCAGCAAAGTAATTGTTTTCAGTTTCCACATTTTGCTGGCACCTATTTATGATATTCCCTTATCTCAAAAAAAAAAAAAAAAAAAAAAGGTGCATTTGTGGAGAGCAAAACAGTCCAAATCTAATTCAACACCTACTGTTTTGCAATGCAAACAGAACCTTTTGCCAAAATAATCTGTAACAGTATACCACAGTTAACCAATACAGAGGGATTCAAATTCTGACAAGTTCTAGCATGAAGTCATTTTACACACACCTTTACAAAAATCAACTGCATTTAAAAAATGTTCCCACCAAAAGAAAAATCCACACCCATTTCTAAGGAAGAAACAAGGCAGAGCTCCTGAAAAGATGTGATTTCACAACACTTGCCATGTAACCTGCTTATCCTTTACTGACAACTATATCAACACAAAAACAGAATCAAAAGAATAAATTTACCTGCTAGTTAGTTAGAAAAGGTGGTTTCCACATTCATTATAACACACTTCCTTCCTCTTTCATGTTTTGAGAGTATCTGCAGTACAGCTTATACCACTATGTAAGCTGTTGGCACGTTATAACTACTTTGGGGATTTGGAGTGGGGTTTTTTTGGTTGTTTTAATTTTGGGTTGTTTTTTTTAATTTGAGATTCAAGGCCACGTTCAATGACTATAGGTTTAATCATAAGGACCTGCTTTTCAATGAAAGAGAATGATTATCTTTCAAAAATAACTTCATTCTCAGATTTTCACATGCTTAAGGAATTTTCAATAAATAATTTCTTGGGAAAGCACATACTGTCACGTAAAAATAGACTCAAATTATATCTAACTAAAAAGTGTTTTCCAGCTTGCAATGATCTGACACTGTTAATTCTGCAACTGAATTGTGGAATAGATGTTCTCAGATATTTCCTTGAGGTTCACACACTGCAAAATAAAGTGTGATTTCAAAGATGCACTACGTGATGTAAAGGCTTCCTGGATTAAGAGAAGATGCACATTTTCTTTACCTACAGTTGTTTGTAGCAGGAAATTATATCGGTTTATAGCTTCAAAACTTTCATATGGTACTTCAAGATTTACTTTACAGATATTACAAACAATAGGTCTCATTGTATGCAGCTTGCATTTGATAGACTGTTGAACAGGAGGAAAGCCAAACAAGAGAAAATCTCCAAATCCTGTTTCATTTCCCAGATCCTTTTGCTTCATACGTGCGCTGCAGTTTACAGCATGAAATGAGAATGACTGCTGCATATGCAATAACCCCAAATAAATGCAAAAGCTAGGAGATTTAATTAACGTACCTATGTATATACACATCCCTATCTCTTAATGCAAATGCTTTTATGCACGATCAGTATATAGATCTAACTGGAAATAAAGCCCAGTTCAACGCAGCACCCCAAGACAGATTAAAACTCCTCTTTCAGCAGAGACACAGAACACATGACACAGAACAATCAAATCTTGCAATTTATTGCTGCATGCTATTTGCTTTGTGATTCACCTGGTTTGATATACACCCACCAAAAGTTGTACACAGAGATGCAACACACACCAAACACTGTAGGTGAAGCCCCTAACTAAAGTGTGCACTCACTGCCTCAGAGGCTGTGATCTGTGTGTTCCCAATACTTGGCTTACAACAGCCTCAGATGCCAGAATTAAGCAATTAATCTAATGCAGTGTACTTGACATGATTGCTCAATCTAATATGGAAACTGACACTAGCACAAAACACAAAAGCCAGTTTACTTAAAAAAGAAATCAAATAACTGTGCCTGTGTGCAAACAGACCTCTGAGATTGAGCTGTCAGTATCCTTTGGATTAAATTGTTTTTCACAGATCAAAGAGTCAGCAGCTGGATTTAAATAAGCAACCTTCTCCATATTTACCGGTGGATCTATGCAAAAGACCTTTGCTTTGTTGTAAGCAAAACATCCTAGTGCTCCTCTCTTTCAAAAGCAGACATAATGCAATCTTTTTGTTTTGCTAAAAAATACCCCCCCCCAAAAAAACAGAAACACACAAACAAACAAACAAAAAAACACCCACAAAAAAAGCCATACGAAAGTCTTGTTCAAAGAACATGAATGAATAAGCCTCAATTTTCCCTGTTCTCCAATAAAAACACCTCTTCTCATAAGAAATATGCTGGCTGTACATGCACAACTCCATGTAGCACACACAGATTTCTTTACACTGTAATGTTTTTCCTTGGCACATGTTCCAGTATGAATTCAGACTCTCAGCAGTTTCCATTCATGGCCCATGTGGACTCACACTGGAATGAAAAAAGGTTTCCCCATGCTGAAACACTAAATGCCTTAAAGAAGAAACTTTTATCGGAGGATATATGAGCACAGTGAGACACTGCATTACTGTCCACAACATACATCCCCCTGAGGCAGGGAGGAGTTAAATGTTTCAGTAAAGGTACAAATGTTTAAAGAAAACCCGCATTTCCTGCCTTACATGCTTTCCTTGTTCCATGTACCTAATTCCGCTCAAATTATTGTAATGATGCTTTTGGCTGAATGAAGAAAATTCCATTTTCCTCCTGTGGTTTTTCGCTCCAGCCATCACAGCGTTATGGAAGAGATCTTCAGCATTTACACTCTGCCTCCAAGCCCAACAGAAATGCCTGAGAGGAAGATTCCTGTTTGGATTTGAACTAGTGCCTGCAATGCACTGCCCCATTTGCATCTCTTCAAATCTTTCTCTACTGCAATTCCTCTCCATGGTATTCCTATAATTAAAAAGCTCCTCCTAGGAACAGCCAACCATTCCTCCCGAAGTGTCTCTGAAACAAATACAACTGAATAACCCAAGATACTTACGCTGCCTTCACAGATCTCACATGCTCAATAAACAAAAAACATGAACTGCTTCATGGTCAGCCAGAATCTCAGACTGATTTTGGGCAGCCAGCCAGTCAGCAAGCAGCTGACTTATCTTTTACATCCAGATGTTTTATGGGACTATGCAAGCAGAAAAAAGGAGATTGACAGAATCTTTGTTGAAGTATTAGTATGCAGAAGGAAGTAGGGAACCAATCCTCAGCATACAGAAATAAGTAGCAGTAAATCAGCAAGGAGAAATGAAGAAAGAAACAAGAAAAGGAAGGGCAAGTAATGTTAAAAAAATAAATTAAAAAAAAAAAGTTCAGTATGTTGGGTCTTGCTGTTTTCAAGAATCTTTAGTTTAATCACAAACAGGGATGGGCTTGCAGGACAGGCTAATCACTGAAATGGTGCCTGCAGTGTCAAATCATCTGAGCAACCAACCACTGCCTGGCTCCACTGACAGCTCTAGCAAGCACTCAACTCTGCTTTTAATAAAGCTAGCATCTTGACAGAGGACATCTACCTTAGGAAACCATTGAAAGACACCGCATTAAAACACCGTATCACAATAGCTCCTGCTATTGAGATAACTGTCTGGTTTTTACTTGCTGGAAGCGTTGAGACTACATATTTGATCATTATTGTTCATCACAATTCTGTATTTGTTGTAGTCTCCAACAAATAGCCAGTATAACTTCGGGGAAGCACAAAATCATTGCTAAACCAAGGCAAATGTATAGGTCCTTGAAGAACAAATATCAGAACAGAACAATTTCTAAAGTTGGTTTAGAATAAGCTTATTAAGCTTAATGCTATCTTAAAGAAATAAAAGCAAGTTTAATTAGCTCTGCAAACAAGGATTAAACCAGTAGCTCAATCTTACTCTAAAATAGACACGATAAAAATCTTTAAAAGGTTTGAAAATAACACGATGA